TACCGTAAGTCTAATACAGCACTGTAATTTTATACATTTCTTGTGAAAGAAACATTTCTTATTCAATGACCATAAAAATTATTTATATTAATGATGTCTCCAAAGGTCAAGTTATTTTTCTGCGAAAAATTCGTTATCAGTAATCGCGGCCGCCGTTTCGTGCACTGTTCTGCAACGAAAACAAGCTTGAGCAACGGCGTAGTCAAACGGTGCACACTTGGTAAGTAATCCTACAATTTTTTGTTTATAGCATAGTTTATACAGATTATTCCCAAAAAATTACACGTGTTTTGGAAATGTTGAGTGGAATTAGTCTAGAATCGGTTAATTTTATAGAAGAAAACCTTTCAAACAGCCTTAGTCCGTAAACTTCACACGTGTCGGGCTGCGATTGGTTCATGTATTTAATGATTCCTACAACGTAAAATTCGTGAACAACGTTTCACGAATAACGTGGAACGTATCTAAGCATTATAGGGGGGTCTACTGTATATGCATATTACCAATGGAAGTGCTCTATTGTCAAATATGAGATAGCTTCCAAAGTGAAAAGATTTTAATAGTATAAACCAGTCAGATTACAGCATGTGCTTTAAAGAGCACCAACCTCTCACAGTTTATCTCATGGATGCTACACACCAAAATATCATATAATGCTTCCAATGATTCTATCTAGAACCAGCACAGCTTCCCTATCATCAAATGTCACTGCACGCCACTGTCATTTAGTAACTTTTAAAATTTTCCTAATTGAATAAATTTAAGAACTAGCTAATTATTAAAAAAATAATATTGTTAGATTCAATTCTACAATAATAATTTTTACATTCATAAGTGATTTGATTTTAAAAATCTATAATTTACAAACATCAAATTTTTATCTAAAAGATATGTTTTTTCATTATTCAAGAACACCAATAAATACTGTAAATGATATAGTAGGAATTATTAATCCAACATCCTCTGAAAATAGCCAACAATCTGAAATTGTGCAATAATAATCTAGCATACAAATCAGAATTTGTTTGGACATGTGATAGGCTAAAAATTTGGGATGAAAGTCAAGACAACGGTAGAGCTGTGGCCAAGCACGTCAGGTTTACCATAAGATCAAGAATGATGTAATTGGGAAAAATATCTCATTTTGTTATAGCACCTCACTTAGATCAAATACTCATTTGGGAATCACTCTTCAATCACTCTGTAAGATTTAATTTCAATATACAGAAATTAAGTAACATAAGGATCAATAAGTAATACAATAACTTCCCGGTAATTCTATCCGTTTCTTACAAAAATTAAGTCGCGGACACACGTGAATTACAATCAAGACATGAAATACAAATACCGTACAAAAGTTACTATGATCGAAGTCTTCAACGAGTTTCTTTCTCCCTTTGTTCTCGTTGTCCCGATCAGTCCTCGTTCCTTTGTTTTCTGTATACCTCGTACTTCCGTCGATCCACTCTCGAGTCTGTCCTTTCTTCGTCTCCCTTTTTTCGCCGCTCCTGTTCCCTATTTATACTCACCTCTCTCCCCCTGCTGGGCTAATTGCCCCCTTCGGGTCAAACGGACGGTGTACCGGTTTGGCTTACCTTAAACAAAGGCCATTGTCTGATATAGGCACAATATGGCGAACGATCGCCACAACTCAAGTCTTTCTCAAATTGTTCTCCCAATGTCATTCATTCGGCTAATCTGACTTCTAGGCAACATGCCTCATCATTCAACCAAACTCATGACAATATTAGCCATCAATATCAACTGTCAACTTACACTCAATGGCAATGCCAACATTTACACAAAATACTTAATCTGATTATAGAAAAAAAAAAATGTTTGCAATGTTCAGACTATGTAACTTATCAAATTTTGTGAAAATATAAAAAATTCCAGTAATCTGGGATCACCCTGGTCCTTTAGATGTCAAATTAACAAACTTCTATTGTATTTCAAAAACTTTTTAATTTCAAAACTAAAGTTGGGTTTATAAAATGATTCATTGCCAGTCTATTCTGCAAATATATAACTCAGAACAAATTAGCTAAGAAAATATTATATCTATACTAATATTATAAAGAGGTAATGTTTGTATGTATGTTAGTTTGTATGCAGCAGGTAATCTCCGAAACTACTCATCCGATTTCAAAAATTATTTCACCAATATTTACAATGGAACTTCAGGGTGGACATAGGGTGTATATTATTCCGTTAAACATGGGAGATGGACAGTTCTTTACGGTAAGCCTTATGGGGAAGGCTTACCATAAAGAACTCTGCTTCTATTTATACTATTTTAGATGCGGGTTTTTGCGTTTTTGATTGCGTTTTAATAGGGTACGTCAAGAGAATGTACACTAAGAAAAAATTTTTCCCCACGGGGGAAGTGTTATACATTTATAATAGATACATTTTGAGCCACAACAAGGCGTGGCGGGGTCTGCTAGTTAGATATAAAATTGCTTGTTATATAATATTTTAGGTTACAGGGTGTCCAACAATTTCCATTTTTCCTGAGATTTCCAAGTTTTCCAGGATGAAAACCTGCATTTTTCCCTAACTAACTGAAAACAACCCACTGCATAAATTAAAAACAGTTCACAATTTATTTTATGTTACCAAATAAAACTCACAGTTATAAGACTATTCAATTCCCCTTGAAAAAAAAAAAAAAATCATATTTTGTAATAGTTTGATTAATCAATTTGTGTATTGTTACTTCATGTGCAGAAGATTCTATATCACATACAGGTTCAAAATGACAATTTTATTAAAATAAGGAAATTCAAATTGACACTATCAACCTTATAATGTAAACCAAATACAATTTTTCCAAATTGTGATATTTACTCACTGTGAATTGCATAAAATAATCATACTCTTTATTAGTTATAGAATAAAATAAACCTTTTTGCATTTCTTCCAAATGTGTATTAATGTCCTCAATCTCTATTAGCTTCTGCAAGAATCATAATCTTTTTTTTTTTTTTTAACTCTCACCATTTCTGCAGCCATCAACTTCTCACTCC